CTTGATAACTTAAAAATAGCAGGAAATAAAGTTCAAGATGAAGATCCAAGATCAACAAGTAACCAAGATGAATAAAGCTCATACCATAATTATTTTAGAGGAATCAGAAATAGTTATTCTTGAAATTAGATTATTAATTTTAAGTATATATTATGTCTTAAAAAATCTTATTGCATTTTGGTTCAATGTTTGTTTGTTTTTAATTTTTTTAATTTTATGTTTCCAATATTTTAATTGAACTATATTATGTATTTTACTATCAATTTGTGTACTAATTAGGATATTTGTAAGCATTAATATTTTATGTTAGTTAAAATTTAAATACACACAGATAATTTTGGTATATTAATGCTTTAGTTGTAAATCTTAATCAAATAACAATACAAATCCTATTTAGTCTATCTAATATACATGAAACTACTTCAATACAGAATACTAAACTAAAAAAAAAAATCATTTCCCGTCGCTACAGTGTTACTGTAGCAAAAATCAGCATCACACTATTTTTTGTTTTTTTTAACAACCTCTTGTTTCATATATTTCTAAACCGTTACATCAAAACAAGAAAACAGATCTGTTTTTGCTAAGGAATCTGCCACAACATTAGCATATCTGGATATATATATATGTTTAAAAACAATAACATCAAAACGACTGGTGAGCTTAGCTATGTCGGCTAAGATACCATGAAGTTCGGAGATATTCGAGCCTGTGTTAATGGCTCTAATAATATTTAAGGAGTCGGATGATCAACATCACACTATTATAGTGTAAATTTTAACGTTCGGTTGGAGCAAGTTGGGACGTCATAACGGTGATATAGTGTCCGCTTAGAGATGATCTAAATACTTCTTGTTTTCACCATAACCTAATTCCTCAAAATAAAATGTAGGGCTATTTGGCTTATTGCCCCTAGTTTTTTTTTTTTTGTAATCAGTTTCTCTATATATATAAGAAAATTGGCATAAATAACTAACAAAAAAATTATAATACACAAAATAGCTATTTTTCCA